GATCAATGGAATGATTCACGTAAAGAACAATATTTAGAATACAACTAAATCAAGACCTTCATGGACCAAGGTGACAACATTAAAATTCTTACGTTATTTCTTCTCTCTGGACGTTAATTCTTCTCTCTGATTAATAATTCGTGGTTGTTTATGTCATTATATTCGCTGATGTTTATATTTTATCTTGCATATAAATTCGAATAAGAAATTATACAGTCCTCTGACTTTGATATAGAATTTGATCTTCAAGACGAATGAACCTATATGGTAATTCTAACCTGCCAAGTAAATAGATCTTAACTATTTACATCTTAGTAGTGATTCCTGGCAGGTAAATCTCTAAATCGTTTTCATAAAATGTTTAAGTAACCTCTCTGTATGATCAGGCACACTCTGACAGAGCTTCATCATAACTTCAATCACAAGCTGTTATCATTTCCGCGCAAACCTCAGAGGGTCCGACTGTCTTCCTTGCCTTTATCTTTCTCATTGCTGTTATTATTTTCTCTCTTGTAACACGTTCAGCTCGTCCCTCTACTGTGTTGGCATCAATTATTTGGTCGCATTCCTTCTCTTCATTCATGATACTCTCCATTTGCACCTTTCGTATGTTCCCCCTATCCTTTTCTATCACGCTAATTTTCTATCACTCCTTCTGATAAATCTTCCACCATTGACATCTCTTGCTTCCTTTTTCACGAGTCTTGTCATCTTAAAGATGATGTTCGGATTCTTGTCTAATTCATTCATCTATTCCTCAGCGTCCCTTTTCATAGATCTTGCAACCACCTTCTTTGCCTTCATTGTCTTGTTGTCTTCAGATCTATTTTTACACATCTCTCTATATGTAACCTTCTTTCTTCCAATCACCTTGTTCACCTTCCTCTTTCCACCACCGTGTGTTGCTTCTACCCTGTCTTCCTTTTATTTTACCACATACCTCCTCATAAAGCCTGCATTCCTTCTATTTCAATTCTCTCTCGAAACCTGCTTCCTTATTTTTCGGCTTCCATACTTTCTTCTTCAGGTTTCTTTCTTCTCATAAACTTTTTCAATTCCTTGTCAAAGTCTCCAACAATTAGTCTATATTGCAGCTCATATGGAATTGCTTTTACATATTGGTCGTCTTGATCGTGGCACATATCCACGTGCCATCCTGACTATTTTTTTCCTAAAAGTAATAACTTTTGCCATCACTATGTCACTCCTCTTGCACCTTAACTACGTTTAACAGAGTTGTTCCTTAACTAGAATTCTTGTTCCCCCAACTCCGTCTTCCTTTTATATCATTAGTTTATGAGTTGAGCTCCTTTTTCTCTCCATCTCACCTTCTGTAAAGAGCGCACATTCACTCGTCTTTCTATCTGTTGTTGGCATTTTTCAGTTCCTTTTCTATGTTTAGACTTTGAAAGCCCGGTGATTTTTCCCACCCCCTGTCCATCTAAGGGCTGCCAGGGACTGGGGGACAATGGTTGAGCTTAAGATTTTGTTGGAGCAGTGAATGACGGAGTGCATTCCCTTGCTAACCTCAGCGGTGTTTCCATAGAGACACGATCTCTAACTAGCTGGCCATTGACTCAAGCGAGTTAATCCGCCCTTTGCAAAGTTTTGTTTTCAGTCCCAGTGGGTGGCTAGCCACCTTTCTCCATCGGTGCAAGACGTCACATTTCCCATTGTTTTAGAACAAAAGACCATTGTCCTCTAAAGTATTGGGGTCACCCACCTCGCCCCCCCCCCTAAGTGTCCTCTGCCACTACTTCTGAGGTGTTTCTTCAAACTGGTGTTGGCGAAGACCGGTTCATTTTCTCTGCACCATTGTCTCCAACGTTTTCTTCTGTTATTCTTTATTCCAAATATTCATACAACGTCTTTAACGTCTCATTGCCAACTTTTGCATTCTTGTCACCCATGACGATGATTATTTCCTGAGATCTAACATTGCCACTTTGATATGCTTATGAAAACCTGTTTATAAATGGTAATTATCAGACTGAATCGATATGCTTAAATGTATTTATTTAAAAATTTTTACACCCGAAACATTCGATGCAATTTTTTCTCCTGGTCTTTCAGCTCCAAACAAGACATAAACAGCCTTTTCTTTTTGGAAAGTTCTTTATCTAATTTCATGGTTAGCTTCAGATGTGTCTTTATCAATAGGATTTTGGAATCGTTGAATTGTCTTGATAAGAGTCTTGTCATGAAATCATGTAAGAACCGTGTGTTGCATTTGAAAAGTGATGGTATTAAAGACCATTTAATACACTGTTTAAGGGTGACTCGTTTATCAATGAATGCAGAAATTCTGAACAATAACCCATTTGTAACTGGGCCAAATGATTTAGACGGAGGAGCAAACAATAAGAGTAAGTTGCTCGATTCAAGTGATGATGAGGATTATTATGTGAATATTGAAGAAGTTTAGATATTGTTTCTGGAATAGATTATAAACGTTCTGCTTTTAAGAGCAAAATTTTATTTTTATTGGAAACGCCCCTCTCTAATAAATTATAAAGTATATGATATAGGTATATTTTAGGGCTTTTATTCGCATTTTTGTATATTTTTGCTAACTAAAAAGGGAGTTGCAAGCTGTATTGATTCCAAAATTGGCAAGGTCAAATGAGCAGCAATACGTTTGGTGTCGTTACAGATTTTAAAAATGATTTAAAGAGATTTGGAAAGACAGGATTAGAGATAAAAAGAAAGATAGAAAGCTAAGCGGATAGGTTTTTCGATTTGCTTCTAGGCAACTATCAAATTTACGTTTGATATGCTGTATCAAAAACGAAATTGGCAGTAGTCAGTGGTGTCTTTTTGAATAGTACATCTCATAGAAACCTCTTACTGAACACCTACAAGCTCTGTAGGTAAATCAGTGACTAAAACCTAATCAACAATGACAAATTGTGGCTCTCTTTACTTATTTTTTTGGAATGAGCTTTTGCAGAACGTATTTCATATAATACAGTGTAAAAGAGAAAGGATAAACTTTTTATTATAGAAAATAAGGCTGCTTTACATTGTTTTATAAGACCAAGTAGAGCATTGATCGTGTTGCAGAGTTCTTATTTGGACAAGTGTGAACAAATTCATTTTTTGAAGACTGAGAATAGAGCGAGATAAAAATAGGGCAAAGGGAATATGTGTGTGGACAAATTAGAGCACTTTGTATCTTTTTTGAGATAACAAGGGAGCACTGCAAATAAGCTAGTTCTCAATTAAGTTCTCTAAGACTTTTTGAGACTTTGTTATGACCTCATAAAATTATTTTCGATGAAAGGCCTGCAATAGTTCCATCATTGTTATTAAAAAAGTGATCAGAAGGTATTTGATATATGTTCAGCAGTGAACGAACTTGGAGGCATAAGAATGATTGTTGCTTTGATGAGTGATGTCTAGCATAGATTTAAGACGATTTTTACTGGGCCAGTTTGTATCTAATCACGGGGCAAGTTTATTGGTATCCAGGTTTCAAAGGTTTTTGCCATTTTTTTTCTGTTGGCAAGATGTTATAGACCTTCAAACGCCATTTTGATTTTTTGTAGACACAACTACTTCTTACAACATTCCAGATGAGGATTTTTGTTTTTCGTGTTAGGAAGCAATCAAAGTTGTACATAAGGTGAGTTTGATTTTTGAAAGCAAATGTGAAGTAAAGTTAACTATTTTATTAATTTTTATTTATCGCTGATTTTGAACACAGATTTATTTTGTGACAAGCATATTTTCCCTCGTCTTAGGACAATCATATGACAATGCTGCTAATATGTCCGAGAAATTTTTTAGGGTGCTAACAAAAATTAAAGAAATTAGCAAATGTGCACCCTTCGCCTCATGTGCCCCTCATTTGCTCAATTTGATTGGTATCAAAGCAGCTGAAAGCTGCCTCCAAGTTGTTGCATTATTGTCACTGGTATCCATACCTCTTTTTTTCCATTTTTATTCATTTCTTTTTTCAAGGCTTTTTTCAAGGCTCTTGCTTGGAAAGCCTTTTTTCTTCATCTTTTTACAATCAGCATTTTGAGTATTGGAGTGAGACACAGCAAGCGCCAGTTGATACATTATTCGTTTTCAATTTAAAAGGTAGTTCATACTCTTTTTCTTTCTCTGTGAAGTAATGATGATGGGGAAATCTTCAATCCAGTTGGCGGAAAGCTAAAAGATGTTGACATCAGAACAACGTTTGGTGTTGTAAAGAGTGAAAGGAACCCATTGAAAGTATGCATGTGATATGAAAGCCTTCCTAGTGCAATCACTGAAAATGCATTGCATTGCAAGGCAAAAGCTGTCAGTGATAATTCTTGATATGTGTCATTAGTTACACTTGTTATTCAATTGATGTGAGACAGGAATTTTTTAGATTGATAGCAACCTAATTACTTTTTAGAGATATCGAAACTTTTTCTGGACAATTGATGGATTGCAATCCCTTGATATTTTGGAGTAAAGTCGATATTCAATTAATAGCTTGTGCAATAAAAGTGATATCTGGCTACAATTTATATTTTGAAAATGGCTTTGAAAAAAGCAAACATTTCACAACAGATTAACTAAATGTTTTTTTTTCTGACACTCCTCAGAGCATAAAACGTCAGAATAAGGGACCGAAAGAACACGATGAAAAATATATACCCAGTTGTGGATCGAAAGAGTAAAATATATATACCCAGTCTTCTTGATAGCCGTTGTCCAGAAAGCTCGTTTTAAGATTGGGGGGATAGGATAAAACAACATGCTCCTTCCAACATAAGAAACAAAACTGCCCCTCAAATAGAACAGCCTCCTCGATCTTGTAGGTCTAGAAACACTGTGATTCTGCCATCGGTCAACATCTTTTAGACAACCCAGATTGTGCAAAACTCTATAATGACGACAAGTTTCGGATAATTGGCAGAGCTCGGTCGTCCTTCCATCTAGCAGTTTTGGAATCGATCTGCATACAAACAAAAAAGCCGCCATTTTGCAGACAGAAGGAGTTCGTTTTCTCTCTTGGACTCCAGTGGTAATTTTTCTTTAGGCACGCGGCACTGATTGGTCAACTATACCGGTCTTGTGCTTGCGTTTTTCTGATTGGCCTCTTTCGATCCACAACTGGGTATATATTTTTCATCGTGTTCTCTCGGTTCTTATTCTGACGTTTTATGCTCTGAGGAGTGTCAGACGAAAAAGCTTTCAGTTAATATGTTGTGAAATGTTTGCTTTTTTCAAAGCCATTTTCAAGTTATGTACCGCCAAAAAACTGTCCAAGTTAAATTTTTTTGCAACTTAATAAGATGGATTGCAACTCAAGAACTTAATTATTGCAACTTAATTATTCTGCATAAATTCGTTTGGTTGTATATATTGCTATGATTCCTGAGTGATTGAAATTTATCTTTTGAAGTAAAGAGCCTCCTTGACCAAAGCTCACGAGGACATCTCTAGTAATACAGAAGTGATAAGTGAGTTACGCTGATTGTAAAATCGTTCCCTATTTCCAATTATAGGTTATTCTTATCGGATTCAGTCGTTCATTGCAATCTTCAACCTTGTACATAAGTGTAGATGGAGCAAAGAAGTGGAACGCTGTCAGCATTCCATTTCGTGTGAGGCAAGATGAGCCTATCATACCTCATCCAAGCAAAGAAGAATGGCTTCTCGCTCTAGAAGATGGACCGTCAATGGCGGTAGGTATTTGGCTCAGCCTTTTCGCTCTTTTATTCATCACCAATTAGTTCCGATCTCTTTTGCAAATCGAGATGGTAGATCGATGAAATTGACAAGACGTGAACAAGCTTTTTTCTTTATTAGTCCGTAGAACGATCATCATATTAAGGAATTTTTATCAAGGCCTGAATTCGAAAAAATCGACCATGGTGAATTGTCTTGAGAAGTATCTCTTCCTGACTGTTAAGATAGCATGATCATCATGATTTTGTAAATTCGACAATATTACTATGATATTGAGGATTCTTTCAAAAGTCAACGGCAGTAAAGCCCATATATATTGTCTCAGGTTCGCAAGTAACTTTATAAGTGTAAGATGAATTATTTTAACTGTGTTCTTCATTACTATTATCTGAGACCCTTTTTCATTTGAACTTCAAGGTGTGGCTCTCTATTGACTTTGGATTCAACTGGATGAAAATGAAGGACCAGGCATATTCTGTAAAATGGTAAGCCTGTTCTTCTCATATCTAGGGCTTTTTCTCAATTTTGTTGCATCTCCTCGTGCCGCATGAATTTTGTTGTTGTTACCCTTCCTTAAATCTGCAACCACAGCATTTTTACCAATCAGTCAATCAAAGTTAATTAATCACCTTCAAAATTCATGTTCAAAATTTACTGAACATAAGCAGAAAGGGCATTTACTGAATATCTTTTAGATATATGGTGTAAATGTTCATGATCTATTTATTTATTTTATTGCTATTTGTTATGTCTTCTCGAGGCTTCTTGTCATTCTTTTCTTTCCATTTCCCAGTCTTTTATGCAATTTTCAGGGGAGCGGTAACTGGACGTGATGCAGATGAGAGAGTTATCTTTGTTACAGTGAAAGAAAGTATGGCAGGTAACTCTGACTGTATCTGGCAGTGTCCAGTTATGCTTTTAAAATACCCTTGTGATTTGTCAGTTCCACACAGTAAGTAGTCAAAATCACTTGAATTAACAGAGCTTTGCCAGGAAACTTTTTCAAACGCATTCATAGTTATTTTGCACATAGAAAAATCGTTATATTAAGAGAATTATACAGTAAATTTTGTATTTTGAATTAAAATTTTGCAGAAGCTTAGCAGATCTTGAAAATATTTGTAAAAGTCTCCCAGGGTAGAAATGAGGTTGAAGAAATGAATATAAGATTTTTTCCAGTTTTTCTAGAGATGAGAAACCATATTTGTATGCGTCAAAATGACGAGGGTGAAGCCCCTAGACTGACATTTCAGAGTCCTTCTGTGCCTTTTTTCATTGCTGTTGACCCAATACCAATAACCTGGTCGAATCTTGTCTCTGAGCTAACAAGAGCTAAAATTTGAATACTTTCGCAAATTAGATTTTTTGCATATGTGCTTTCTTCTTTCCATTTAGGAATATTTGTTGGCCATGAAAGTGCACTTTGGAGGTCAAAAGATCTTGGCAAAAGTTTTTCATGTACGTAAAGTTTTTGAATCAATACACAGGCAGTTGTTCAAAACATGAAAGAACAAATGGGCATAACCCCTTTCAGTAGGACTTTGCATGAATTCGTGTACTTCTCCCTGGCTACATATGCAAGTTACAATCAATGAACTGATTCTTTTCATTTAAAATTTTGCATTTAGTGATGCAATGCACTATTTAGAAAAATAAATTGTTTAATTGAAATAATGTTTAGAATTCAAAGGGCAATGATCTACTTCCCTCCAGCTGCTGTATCTGTTATTATAAATAAAGTTATTATAAATGTTTGACTGTGTAACTTGTACATAAAGCCTGTTCCCGATCTTTATCATGTGGCGCCTTCCATGGATTTAACTCAATTTATCAATGTGAATATTTTTCCAGTACTTCACGATCATGTGTACAGTCTTGGCATTCAGGGAGTCTTTCTATTTATATCAGTGGATTTAGACAAGGTATTTATCAAACCAAATTTACGTTCATTGTTGGTGCATGGAAGAGTCATGAGGGTGATTTTATGAAATATTGTTCATGGGCCACTTGAAAACCAAACATATCTTGGCAGACATTATTTCCACAGATTGTTCTCGTTTGATTGTATATTGCAAATTCTTTTTGTTATATCCTTTTTTGAGAAACTTTTTTGATAAGCTAAAACGAGTGTTGAATTTATCAGTTACTTACTGCTAAAAATCTGTTTAAAAAATACGTCTAGGTTGGAATTGATTTGACGAAAGAGTGAAACTGTTTCTCTTCTTTCGTAGAAGGCTGGATTGCGCGTGATGCATGTTTCCAAAAACAATGGTGATGTTTTCCACAGAGTCCATGTGCCCGAAGTTACTCCTGAAAGGGTAAGTTTTGTTTGTATGTGGTTCATGTCGCGTCAAATACATTAAATTGTCCAAATTCAAACTGATCTTGTTTAAAAGTACATATTTGTATTGCAGGATAATGCGTGATCTTATCTTAAAGGTGTTTTCTAACATGATGAACGTTATTGGCGATGCTTAGCAACAGCTGTGTCTTTTCGTAAAAGAGAATACATGATATAGTTATAGAAATGAATTAAAGATTAGTTATCAGTTCTAAGGCCCCTTTTCCCTGGATTTGTCAAAAAAGCTTCAGCTATGCACAAGTATTCCAACAATTTTGGCAAGGATTGTAGATTAATTACATATAGAGAAAGTTCATTCATAAAGTCAAGTTCAATTTTCGCTCTCTTGTGAGCTAAGAGCAAGATCATAATAGTTTCTGTAAGGCTAGGCCAAATCAAACCACCGCAGCAGACAGTTTGTTATGGCGACAGCTACCTAACTCTGGTTCAAAACATTTGAAATAAACGCTATCATTCCTGGTTGTATTAGGTCTAAAAATTCCTCTTCATGAACTTTTGGTTCGCACATACGTCTTGAACAACACTCGCTTTTGCTCCATTCCATCGCTAACCAGGTGGGCTGTTACTGTGCTGGCTCATTAGGCCATTGTATTTTCATGCTCCCCGAGCATCATCAGCAAAACCTCTTGACGTCACTAGAAGCATGCTTTGTTTTGCCTCTTTTCTGTGTTTTGTCACTTCCCGAGCCTTTTAACAGCACATTCTACCTTCGGAAATAATTTAATTCATCGAAATCAGTGAAAAGTTTCACATTGGTTTCAAACAAAACAGATGTGGTGATTTTTTGACCTCAGAAGCTCTTCAAGGAAATTTACGTGAGTATCAGCCTGAGCAGTCGATTAAGAGATATAGCCGAGTCTCGATATAGCTAACTGGCAAAGCGAATAAAGAATCAGCAAAACTCTAATTGATCACGTCCCTACCACCAGAAAACAAAACATATCTGAGATAGATGTCTTTTAGTTGCCGATTGTTGGTCAATGTCTGGTTTGCCGAGTGCGTAAGATAGGCCCCTAAAGTCTAAAAATCATGATACCAAAGATAATATAAGTTTCAAAGTCTTAGCAAATTTGATAGGGTAGCTTTCCTTTACTTTGTATAACAGGTAGAATGGGAAACCATCTTGAGCCCCTTACCAACGATTTAGACATTATGGCAGCCACATTTCAAAAGACTTTCGAAGGAATCCTGAACATTCACACACTTCTGAGGAGGCAAAAAAGACATGCACCGTGGATCATTTATGAAATTAAAAACGTATGAAAGAAGTAAAAGAATGGAGAGAAAGATGGGATAAACTCTTCAGTTTTGTGACGAGGATACAAGGCTTTGTGTGTGAGAAGGAAGAACCGCAGATAGCCTGTCCGTCGGATTCTGTGAATCTTGCAATGAGTATAAAATAAATACGAAAGATACACAAAAAAATGTGACATCGAAAGAGAACGGATACAAGGCTTTGTGCAAAAAATGCCTAAAGCAATAGACATGCTTTTCAGTCATGAAAATTGTGAATATTTTCTGGGTACAACTGAATGAACCGTATCTGAGAACTGACTCGCTACATGCAGAGCAGCTGAAATACCACCAGTCTATCAGATTTCTTCTTGACCTTATCGCTTCATTAACAGAAACATGAAACATTTCGTCATACCACAGTTGTTGCTTATATCTTCTCTTTTAATGCAAAGGGTTCAGAAGTTGAGCTGAAAATTTAGAGGAACTTCAATCTTGTCCGTTTGTATCAACGCCATCGTTTAAATATCTAGGAATAGAAATGTATAAGAAGATTATACCTTTTTTGGTAAACCTAAAAAGCCTGAAAGCGTCTGTTCTCAGGTTGTGAAAAAAATGCTTCACAGCGGTACACCTTTGTTCTTTCTGTTTTGCGAACTGAACTGCAATTATAGTTGTAGAAGTATTTAGTTCAACGTTTCAAGACGATTTTTCAGGTAATTTGCAGGAAATTTTGATTAAAAATAACAATACTGCAAAATGCAAATTAAATTTTTAAACCAACTTGCTTCTTTAGCTAAAACGTTAAGTATGCAGAACTAAAGGCTTAACTCATCTTTGAAAATATTCTTTGAAAATAAGTGTATCTTTGGAATCAAGTTTTTCTTCTCCCGCCCCCTCCGTTTCCGGAGCAGACCAGAATCGTATGAACCACCGTGCATAAATGACCGATTTTACTCGGCCTTAATGTCGCAAAAAATTTTCTATTGTTTATAATCCTCGCAGGGGGACCAAAGTTTTGTCCACCCCTGTACAAGTGATTCAAAGCACCATGAGCAAAAGACTTGATTTGATTTGATTTGATTGAATTGATTTGATCGATTTGACTAATTCATTGATTTGGTTTGACTTTTTTCATTTGTTTGTAAAAAAGTATAGTACCTTAAAATACTGGAATTAATATTTTATGATGCAGAACGTATCTACTTGTTGGAAAAAAGATAAGTTTCATTGCCATCCTTTGGTTTAATATTCTCTGCAAATTTTCATAATTTTTTCAATCTGTATCAACCAGTGAGAGAGAATTATTTCCTATTTTAGTTCTATGCCATATTGGATATGAGCGAAGGTCAGATATTCTTGCACGTCGACGAACCATCAGGCAAGTTTTCTCCTTCAATCTGTTCTCTTTAAGATGGTATGATGTAAGAATTAGATTTAAACGTTAGATGAAATAAAGCGAGATATGTTGCTTCAGGAATTAGTTTATACATCACATGATAACTTTGGCAAAGAAATGATACATAACCTTTGCGTAGAATTTTTCTAGTCATATGCAGTAGAGTGGCGTCGCCCTCTTGGTGCACCGGCAGGAATCCGTATGATCTGAATACGTCTTGTAAAATTGTAAATAGAAGTAGACTGGGCTAGTGTTTTTTCAAAAACCGCGCGAAAATAACTTGCTGACGACTTTCCTTCAATTGTAAGCTGTTTTTGACAAGATATTTTGACAAGATGACAAGATTGCCGCATTATATTCTCCGACAAGTTTTTCAAGTGCTTACCCTGAGCCATTTCGTGAGTATTCTTAAATTCTTCGCTTGCCTTTTAAGTAACGTGTAACATTTTCCTCTTTTTTCCGAGCTTTTTCTTCGTAATAATAATTTTTTTGCTGTGGTTAACAAAGCCGCCCTCCTGTGTCAACACAATGAAATTATGAGCAAGATTTGAAAGTTAGCGCCCTGTTGGCTCTCCTTTTGCACGCTCCGAGAATTTTGATTGGCTTTTAGAAATTTGCTGGGGTCAAAGTCATTTGTCTACATAACGGAGTTAGAAACAAAGAGGTAAGATGATACATTTTGAGAAAATGAAAACATTTCTTGGTGAATTAATTGAGAAAAGTGTTTGTTAAATTTATTTGGTTGGTTTTGAAAGATCAATTATTTACAAAAATTAATGAATTTCAAAGTCTATAAAAGATTTGTCCAAGCCCGGAGTTGTTTATTTCCATGGCCACCCCCATATGAGTGCTGCTGATAGCAAAATGATGGAAGTCCAATATTTTGCTGTTAAAATTTTTCCTTGATATTCTCCGAGTTGTACTATCTCTGATATTCTCTCTTTTCCAATGTGACCTTAAGCTTTTCTCCGTTTCCAGTTTATTATAATGCCTGGCACACACCCTAATCCCAGTGAACAAAATTCTAAATACACCGAGGCGCGATTGAAAAAGGCAATCCAGGATTTAAAAGATGGATGTTCAATTCGCAAAGCAAGCAAAAGTAACGGGATACCAACTACAAGTTTGAGCCGAATTGTTAAAAAAGGGCGAAAACAGTTAAGTTTTGGAAAGGAGATCGTGCTTACTGTCAAGGAAGAAAGCGCATTGGCAGATTGGATTTGAGAGAGCGGGGAAAAAGGGTTCGGAAAAACACCTGAAATGGTTTGTGAGGCTGAGAAGCAAGTGCTTGATAAGCCAGGCCGAAAAGTTAAAATTTTCCGTTTAAACAGGCCAAGGAAGTCATGGTGTCATGGTTTTTTAAGACGGCATCCGGATCTTCAAAGGTTCATATCATCAAAGGCCGAGAAACCTCGAGTTGAATAGAGCGTCAGCATGCAGGAAAGAAGTTGTTTTTGGTTGGTTTGATGGTTTTGAAGAATTTCTGAATGAGCAAGGGATCACCTGTCCCGACCAAATTTTCAATTGCGATGAATCTGGGTTCCCCCTTCAAGCATGCTCTTCGAAGAAGGTTTGTGTCGAAAAAATGATGAAACGTGCTTTCCATCTCACCAGTGCCACGAATACCTCTATTACGACGCTTCAGTGTATTTCTGCCAGTGGCTTAGCGCTTCCTCCAGCTGTTCATTTTCCTGGAAAATCTTTAAATCCAGAGTATTGCATTGGCTTCCCAAAGAATGTTTATCTTGGATTTTCAGATAACCGTTGGATGGAAATGTACCATTTTTATGCGTGGGTTACAAATCATCCCGTTCACCAAATTCCACCAAAACGTTCTGTCCTTTTATTACTTGACGGTCACCTTTCCCACATTGACTACAACACTTTCTTCTGCAAAGAAAATAATATCCTCCTATATCGATTGTCTCCCCATACGTCGCATGTCATGCAGCCAGCAGATCGTGGTTTTTAAGATGTTCAAGGGAGAGTGGCAAAAGTCATGCACGAAGTTCTCCATGCAAAATCCTGGTGTCGTATCAAAGCGCATATTTTCACCTGGTTAAGTCTTCGTTTAAGAGCCCTGTGATCTGGCCGGTCGATCGACATGTTATCCAGCGGTCTGCATTCGCTCCTTCCCAAATATTTTAGCCAAGCAACATGGTAACAGCTTCAACTTCATCAACCACTGCCACTTGCACCCATTCATCCACCGCTGCCACTCCAGTTGAACAAGAATTTCCGAAAGCAAAATCTACTCCGACAAAGCCAAATGAAGTTAATACCCACCCTGTTTATCAATCTCTTTCAAGAATAGAAGAAGTGTCAGATTATTTGAAGAGAGGCTTAGCGAGGGGTATGATGTCGAGAATGATGCTATTTTCATGGCACGAAAAATTTTGAAGCCGAAACACGAAAGCATTGAAAGAGTGATAAGCGATTCAAATATCAGCGTCAAGTTTACACGAAGATCTTTGCCCGATTATTGCAAGTATTTTAGTTCATCTGGAAGTAAAAAAAAGGAGAAATGAACTCCATTGAAATTTTTGTCTGATAACTTTGAAATGCTCAATTCTGACCTATTTTCTGTCGAATTTGTTAATAAAATGATAGGGTAAAATAGGGGGCATAAATCCTTTGGTTGAGTCTAGCACACAGGATTTAATGCCATTTATTTGTTGATTCAGGCTGGTGTAATTGCCAATTTGTTATTATTTGCTTAGAGAAATTCCTATAAAAGCGAACTCCTCACTTGTCGCTGCGGTGAAGCTTATTGATTCTTTCTGGTGCACCACAAGGGCGACCGGCCTAAATCTCGTCAATCGAAACAATCATGTGTTTATCTTGCTTATACTAGGAAACTATTTTGAATATTTACCTTGAGTTCTAACGGAATATAAAGCATACATTTGGAAAGCTGCAGGTGATATTAATTTTTCTTATACGTTGGTAACTGTTTTTTACACAGCTTAAAACAACAAGGTGCACCAAGAGGGCGACGCCACTCTAGTTAATGTATCAATACTCAATCAACCAATCAATCAATCAATCAATCAATCAATCAATCAATCAATCAATCAATCAATCAATTAATCAATCAATCAATCATACCAATCAATCAATCAATCAATCATCCATTCAATCACTTTAATCAATCAATCAATCAATCAATCAATCAATCAATCAATCAATCAATCAATCAATCAATCAATCAAAAACTTTATTAATGTGTCAAAATACAAGCTAATTGGGGACACAACGAAAAAAAGTATATAAAGTTAAATTAGAGCATAAAATATGAAATTACAGTATGATTATTAAAACATAAAAATTTCCAAAAATCCTGTGTACAACTAAACTACAGTCTACAGTCTAAAAGAGTTTCTATGTCCATTCTTTTTATACTTCTTTTGAATTGGTTTATTGTTGGCACCTCCTTGATGGCTCTCTTTAATTTGCTCCACAGATTTGCTCCAAAGTATCTTACTGAATGTTTTCCTTCGTTTACCGTACGAAATTCAGGAATTACAAATTTTCCTTTTTTTTAATTCATAAGGAGTTTCTTTTATTGCAAACATATCCTTTATAAAATGTGGGGCTATACCGTTTTTAACTTTATAAATAAGTATGGCAATGTCCTGAAGTCGTCTATTCTGGAGAGATGGCAGGTTTGCTTTCATAAGGAGTTGAGCTTATGGCGTAGACTTATCATTATGAACAACTCTAAAAGCTTTCTCTTGTAGTCTCTCTATCTTTCTTTTATCTGCTACTTTGCAGAAGTGCCAGACTGTACTGCAATATGTTACGTGAGAGAGAATGGCTGACTTGTAGATTGTTAGTTTCGCATTGGTAGGTATTATGTTACGAAATCTAGATAAGACACCTATTCTCTGACTCACTCTCTTGCACAATTTGCTGATATGTGTGCCAAAAGTTAGCTCATCGTCAACCTCAACACCAAGCAGCTTGAGACATCTTGTTTGCTCTGCTTCATTGTTTTCATCAGCCATCACTTTTATCTTTAGATTGCTTTCTTGCTATTTTGAATTACCAACGCTTGGTATTTGTTTCTGTTTGCTTTCAGATGATTGTCCTTGTACCATTGTGAGGCCGTCTTGATGTCTTTATTCAAACGCATCTCAACTTCATTACCGTTCTCTCCGGAATAATAGATCTGATGATCGTCGGCATACATGCTTATCTGAGAGTGCATTATTTTGAAGACCAAGTCATTTTGAAAGATATTCCACAACATGGGACCAAATGCTGATCCTTGTGGGCATCCTTGTGTTGTTTCCTTCCATTCACTTCTTATATTTCCTAGTTTGACCCTATTCTGTCTTTGCTCAAAGTAGGATGTTATTAATCTTAGAGAATCCTCGGCCAGGCCATAGGATTCAAGCTTTTCTAGTAGGAGACTTGGAACCATGGAACCAGGGCGAATTTCAAATCCTCAATCAGTCTCAGCAGCGAAGTTTCTTTGCTGTTTTGTTTCTTGTATGCTGTCAAGCACGGGCTTAGTTTGTTGTGAAATGAATGTGTAGCTTGCTCACTGAGCGCCTTCTCAAAAACTTTGTCAACTGCATTGAGAACTGTTATTGGCCTGTAAATTTCATAGACGTCTTTATCTGCTTTCTTGTGAACTGGTGCCCATTCTCCTTTTTTCAACTCGATTGGTCACTTTCCTTGCGTAATGCATGAGTTATATAATGATGTTAGAGATGGAGCTAGTTGTTCAGCATTCATTTTTAAAAAATCCAGGCGTTATTCCATCGCATCCAGTGGATTTTATTGGGTCTAGCGATGACAGAGCTTCTTCGACACTTTTTTGAGACATGAAAGGGAGTTTCAATTCACAACTGACATCAAAGCTAAAGCATTGATAACTTGCAGATCCAAGTAGAGTGATATTACAAAAGTAGTGAGAATACATAGATATCTGCGATTAAAAATAAGTTTTGTCTCTCAGTGTCAGTCATTTTGATAAACCACGCTCGGTACCAATGCTGATATGTAAATATTTTTATTTCAGACACGGGAAAGGGAACGTTGTTTGTGTCAGATGCCGACGGTATTATGTATTCGCAATCACTGGAAAATCATTTTGTAAGTTCGATTTGATTAAGATTTCTCTTTTCATCGGGAACCTGCCTGGGTTAATTTGTGTATTTTGCTGCAGATATTCTCTTACAGATAAATTTAAGTAAGTTTTGTAAACATTAACCCTTGGCTTTGCACCTTGACCTTTTTTCTTTCCAGTACACCAACGATGGAATAACAGACTTTTTTAGAGTGGAATCTATGAGAGGCGTTTTCTTAACCCATCAACTTCAGGAAGGTATGTTAATTACCGTATTTGTTCGATTATAAGCTGCATCTTATAGTTATTTTTGCCGCTATTTACTGCGGCTGAAAATCAAGGGCGGCTTGTAAACGAGGGTGGCTTATAAACGAGAATGTCTTTTGAACAAGGGCGGCTAACACTGTCTTATCCAGATCCTGCCAAGCTTTTCTGCTACCTTAAAGTTGATGGGTGATAGTATTGATGATCCCATGCTGGACAATAACGTTGTTAGTTGAACGTCTAATGTATATCTTTTGGTTTAAGTATACAAGTTTCTATCATTTTTTGTGTCCATCAAACCAAGTATTTCTGCATGTTTTTGTGGGTGTAGCCTATAATCAAAGGCGGCTTTTATTTTTTGTGAACCCAATTTATTGAATAAAAAAGAGCGGCTTATAAAAAAGAGCGGCTTATAAAAAAGAGCGGCTTATAAAAAAGAGCGGCTTATAAAAAAGAGCGGCTTATAAAAAAGAGCGGCTTATAAAAAAGAGCGGCTTATAAAAAAGAGCGGCTTATAATCGAATAAATACAGTATGTCATAGTTGCGATCAAGATTTTATTCAACAACTATTCGGCCATGAGATGGTGTTAATTTTGAAACATGAGACGTTAAAACGTTACATTATCATTGCAGTTAAACTGTTACATCACTTCACATGTTACATCATTAAATCACTGTTACATTAAACTTTATCATTGCAATTGCTAATGGCCATGATAACAAAAACCTGTGATTTAAGCAGGATTTAATTAATAGAAAACTAAGATTGTTCCAAATAATAAATTGGCTACATGTTAATGATAATTGGTAGAGCTTGGTCGTCCTTCCATCTAGCAGTTTTAGAATTTATCTGCATAAAATGTAAAACTGTTTTGCGCAGATGGGAGGATTCCGTTTTCACCCTTTTTCTCCCTTGATATTGTTTTTTATAGGCTAAAAGCACTGACTGAGTAATCTTAAAAGTCACGAGATGGCGTTTTCAGGAGTTTATAGGTTTCATTTTATTTAGGTAATACTTTAAACTCATTGATCACTTTTGATCGTGGTGCAACATGGAACGCTTTGTATCTTGCTGATGAGCAATGCCGAGGTGCTATTTCAAAGGTAAATATTTATTGCACCAAGCGCCTTTTTATTGCATCACGCACCAAACCATGCCCAAGAAGCGTATTACCAACAGTTTATGATGTCGTATTACCAACAGTGCTGTAAGAGTTGTAAAATTTTCATTTAAGCAAGGATTAAATTTGATATTTCAATGATGGATTTCCAATCGAAGATTGCGAAGAATGTTAGCAATTCACCAATGTTGATTTGCTGTCGACAAAAAATAATATATTTAAGCAATTGGTACAGTGTAAAAATGTAAATTGACACAGTTTTCATGATTTTGACAAGTGAATAAAGAATTCTTACTTACATTATAGTATGGCAAACAAGCTATATATGTGACCGTTTAAAGATTTTTCATTACTGCTGCCCTGTGTAATCTTACAGTTTGTCACATTGTTCTTTGTCATGTTCGTTGCAATTCAGCCGCAATCAACAACCTATTTCAAAATAATTTCTTTGTATGTTAATTGTGTGCTTTTCTCCGAAAACAGGTAGTAGATATTTTGAGTTTTTTGCAGAAGGATTCAAAATGCTCGCTGCACTATCATCACACATTCAGTCAGCAAAAAGGTCATCTTGTGCAAGGCCCGTTGAGCTCGGCTAGTGCTCTAGGAATAATCATGCTTCATGGTGCGTATCCTTTTTTCACTTCATCTAGGTTGCATCAATCATAGCTGGATTATTATTCCAGTAGTTTTAGTATAAATGTTGATTTAAAGGCTCTTGCACAACCGGCATGCTTTGCGATTCTTATTAAAAGAACCGGCCTAATATCCTACTGTACGAAGATACAAAACACAGTCAATTTCTCAAGACAGCTGCCGCTAAGCTCGCGGTTGCACAAGAATCTTTAAAACAGCTCTGGCAACCACTTTCCAATTAAATTAAAGGCAAATTTAAGTCATGTGTGTAAATTAGTTCCATTTTAGTAGATAGTTCATTTGATTCGGTCGATTATATGTTTAGATAGGTGATAACATTTTTTCTTCTACAGAACTTTCCCGGTTAAGTTGGCTTTTATCTTCTCTGATGATTTCTGTATATAGATCGAAGCTTGAAATTACGACTTTATTTTTCTCCAGTTTCCGTTTTTACAATTTTTTTTCAATCCGGCTGTTGTCCTTTTTGCTATTCACTAGTTTGCTTTTTTTCGTTTGTTTTTTCTTGCTTATTATACGCTCTGTTGATCACCTATTATATTTCAAACGTTACAAAAGTTACAGGATTGAGCAGCTAGAATAACGAAAAATTCACCTGCTCTTGTTCGTGATATTGTTAGAAGTGAAACTATCATGTACAAATCGCTAAATGGTCTCATACCTGAGTACCTCTCTCACCTGTTAATCGAAAATTCAACTCGAATTTTGAGATATCCGAGAAATAAGGAAACTTATCTTTCTTTTCGTGGATGTAAGCTTTGGAATAACCTTGCACTTCCTAGCCACTTTTGAGAAAAATCTAAAATTAAACTTACCATGTAATTATAACGAATATCGTATTTTTGTACTTGTATATACCGTATAACGTATCTCTATTCTATAAGTAATTTTTAGCACGCCCCCCCTCCCCCCTCTCCCCTGCAAAGCAATCGTAACAGATTGAAGAGGCTACCGTACTTAAAGAAAAATTGGGAATATCATCAATTCCACTTGCAAGCTCCTTGCTCAAAGGGCAGAAAACTTTATGCACAATTCCACCAATTCCTTTATTACCAACAATATTTTTGTCTTGTTCCTTAAGACATACTGTGTTAGTACTTTGAGATCTTTCATTCAAGAGCTGGTTTGAAGTTCTCCAAGATTCCAAAATTCTTTAGCTCTTGGTTCTTTATAATTTTCTTATTTGTAAATATATTTTCTTCTGGCTGTTATGTATAAAAGATCCCTTACATACTAGGTGTTCCTGGTGATGCACTTCACACCAACAACACCAGTGTTTACTTGTCACGCAATGGCGGATATAACTGGACAAAGGTAATAACTTGAGAACATGAGTACTGTTTTCATTTTTTTGCGATTGAGCTTGTTCAAGTATCATTGTCTATAGTAAGTTAAATATCATGTAATTGGAATTTGAGTATCTTTCCTTTAATGACTACTGCTTCAGTGTTATCCCGCAGCTCAGCTATCGTCTGCCACTACTGCTTCAGCATTATTGTTTTGCTTTACTCCTTCTTCGCTCTCTGAATTCCATCCTGCGGCACGGCTATCGTCTGCCCCTACTGCTTCAGCATTATTGTTTTGCTTTACTCCTTCTTCATTCTCTGATTCCATCCTGCAGCACGGCTATCGTCTGCCCCTACTGCTTCAGCATTATTGTTTTGCTTTACTCCTTCTTCACTCACTGAATTCCATCCTGCGGCACAGCTATCGTCTGCCCCTATTGCTTCAGCATTATTGGACTTCTTCTTCACTCTCTGAATCCCATATCGCAGCTCAGTTATGATTTTCCCTAATAATTTAGCGTGATTGTTCTGCTTTATTCTTCCTTCATTCTCTAAATTTTATACCGCAGCTCAGCTATGGTCTTGGCCTACTGCTTCGGCATTTCTTTTCTTTTTAATTCCATTTTCACTCTCTGAATTCTATACTGCAGCTCAGCTATAGTCTGGCCCTACTGCTTCAGCGTTATTAGATTATTTTTTTTTCACATGACTCTTGTGTTGTTTTGCTGTTTTGCTGCCGAGATCTTCTATGGAGCTAACAAGCTGTGTTTCACAGCTGTGCCTTTTCCTGAATCCATGCTGAAAAGGAACAAGGATATGACTACCCTCAAAATGGTCCATGATTTGCTTGTAAAAAATGTGCTCAAGAACTTTGCACGTGACGCATGTTAATGATACAGGCCTGAAGTTAGCTGGTTAGTGAAGTTAGTCCGCTTTCAGCCCCTTTTTGAAAATTGCAACAATGTTTGCACATTGCCAATCCTTTGGTACTGAGTCAGTGTTAATTGATTTCTGAAAAAACATTGCAAACATAGGGGCAATAACGTCTGCATAATCTTTTAATATTCTAGTTGGTTAGTTTTTAAGCCAGCAAGAAGATTCTGAACAACTTTCACTGTTACTGTGATGTCTCTCGTGATCTTGTGAGAGCTATATCCTTTGCAGGGGATGTTGCTTTGGCAAGGTCTTGTAAATACTGACTTATACTGTGCTGACAAAGCTGCTGCCTTTTTATTTCCTGTTGTTACCTTGATGATTTAGCCCTTGAATGCTTACTGTATCTTTACTTAGAGATTTGATATAAATCCAAAAACGCTTCATTCCTGTTTTCTGTTCAGCTCCTTCATCACTTTCTTCAAACAATTTGTTGATGTAGTCATTACATGCTTTTGCTATTTCTTTTTTTATTAATTTCTGTGTTTGTTGATACTCTGCCCATTCTTTTTCACTTCCTGACTTTTTTGCTCTGTTGTATTTTATCTGTTTTTTCTTTATAAATCTCTTAATTCTTTTGCTCATCCAGGGAAGATCTTTTCTAGGTTCAGAATTTTTTTTGGTATGTTACTTTTCACTGTTTTCATGATGGTATGTTCCCATTTTTCTGATGCTGATTTTTGCATACCATTTACAGTGTAATAAGCTCTTATTTGTTCAAGGTCCTTCTGTATCATGTCTTTGTTGGCCTTTCCAAACAATAACACTTTTCTTGGTTTCTTGAAGTTAACTTTTGCTTAAAAATTCATTTTGGCAGTCACTGCTTCATGATCACTTATACCCTCTACAACTGCCACGTCACTCATAAGATCTGGGTTTGTACAAAAGATAATATCTAATATGCTGGACTTTCTTGTTGGTGTTTCTACTATTTATGTTAGCCCGTAGTCATCTGCTATGCTCACCCCCTTTTCATTTAGTGATACTCCATACTGTGGCTGGTCTTGGATAATTCCATCTTGCCAGTTAACACTTGGAAGATTTAAATCTCCCCCTAATACTAGGTTGATAGGATGTTTTTGAGAGGTCAGGAAAGACAGTTCATTATCAACTTCCTCTAAGCATTCTAGTCCTGTACTTGGTGGTCTATAAAGTACTCCAATGCAGACAGCTGGCATACCCACAATGTGCAAATTTGCATACAGACTTTCTACCTTCATATTTGGGTTTCTGGGTCCTTCTTGTTCGGTGAGAATTAAATCTCCTCTGTATGCAATAAATACCCCTCCTCCATTGCAATCTCTGTCATTCCCTGATTGCTGTGTATCCTGCTGGGAATATTTCACCATTTGTGAATGTCTTGTCTAAAAATGACTCTGTTCCCAACACGATATCTGGCTTGTGTGTCATTAATAAATGTTCAATCTGCTTTCGCTTTCCAGTACCTTTCAAGCCTCTGCAGTTAACTGTCATTAATTTCATCCCATCCCTATTTGTCTTCTCTCCTTTCCAATTCTGTATTGAACCTTTTGGAGACATGTTTCCCCTGTCCTTTGGTGAGCATGTATATTTTGAAACTGTCTCAGATGAGTTTCCTGCATTACAATCTGCCCCTGTACCACACTCCCAACTATCTGAGGATTATATGATGCCATAGCTATTAGGTGACTTTGGTATTGAATTTTCAAACAATGTGGAAGAAAAGTTTGGAATTCCACAGTTGCAACCAACCTATTCTAGACTCGTATTTGCAAGAGAGTCGTAGATTTCAGTTGACATCAGCATGCAGTGTACATGATACCATCCGTCGCAGTTGTCGCAAGAAATTGCCTTATCATTCAATTTCACAGCCCTCTTACAAATCTGGCATGGGTACTTCACTTGCTTTGACCCTGCATTGATGTTAACATCCCCACTGAGGAGCAATATCAGTAAAAAAAATTTCCGATTTATTCGGGAGACTGACTTAGGCCCAAACATGGCGCCATGTTTTCTGCCTTTCAAGATGTGGACTAGCGCTGTTACTGTCTTGATTGGTAGTTTTCTTGCAAGATGAATGTTGTCCATGTCTTCGCAACAACTGTTACAAAATATTCCTTTAGGCTCACGTGTGCTTATATTTTGCATGAGCATTGCAATTAAAACTACAGTCAAAGGAGCAAGATAATCCATGACCGCCTCCGCTGCCTGATTTCAACACCATCAGATGGAAAAACTTTACAGAAGGACATTGATACTCTCCTTGCTTGGTCAAATGGCTGGAAGATGGATTTCAATGCAGACAAGTGCAAAGTTTTTACAATAACAAACAAGAAAAGTCTTATAGCTACTATATACAGCATTTTAGGAGAAGAACTTGAGGTAGTTGTGCACCATCCGTACCTAGGAATAGAATTAGATTTAAATCTGAGCTGGAACAGCCATGTAAACAAGATCACAAAGAAAGCTACAAATGTCCTCAATCTTGTTCGAAGAAATCTTTACAGCTGTCCAGAAAAGACAAAGGCGAAAGCATACACTACAATAGTAAGACCAGTATGCATCTACAGTATGGGATCCTCATCAAGCAAATCATATAAAGAAAATTGAGGCAATACAAAGGAGAGCTGCGAGATTTGTAAGGAGAGATTATGATCGACACTTTAGTGTCTCTGATATGTTAAAAGAACTCAAATGGCCAACCCTTCAAGAAAGACGCTATATTGCAAGGTCATGTCTCTTCCATAAGGCAGTAAATGATAATATTGCTGTTAAGATTCAATCCTACATAATGACACCAAAACAGCTTCAAGGATAAAGTCAACGGCAGTTTATCAATATTGGCGCTAATACGAACATATATTTGTATTCATTTTTCCCAAGAACTATCAGATGTTGGAACATGTTACCAATCGAATACAGGCAACTTAAAGAAGAGGCATTTAAGAGGAAGCTTCAGAAAGAAATTGAACTGAAGAACATAAACGTTGTTAATCCAAGGACGCACAGTGGACGGGGACAACTTTTATTTCATCTTTACGTTCACTTTTTATAGCCTTAGTATTATTAAATATTGTAAATTAGGTTTGGTTGATAAATTTTGTTTGTTATTAGTATTATAGCATATTTTTAGCGCTTATTTTGATCTTTTAAACAGGTCAGGTTGAAAAACATATATGTATGAACCTTTAACCTGTATAAATATTATTAAATGAAAAAAAGAAAATGACAGTGTTCACAGACAGGTCAAAGGATTGCCTTTAACTGTATTTTTGATTTAATTTCCTTTCTATTCTAATATGTAACTTTATCATTAATTTGCACCTGCTTTATTTCATAGCTGCCATTGAGCAATCCATTACCACAATACCCTCTCAATGTTCCCTTTAATTTTTAGTCCCTTTTTGATTCGGTCTTGCCGACAAACAAAATTACAGCTTCTCATTTGACATGTAAATGTTCAATCTTATCAATGATCAGTGGCATCTTCTAGCACTTTTTATCCATTTATCTATTATTTCATTATTTCTTGCACTCTGAGCATTATACCGATACTCGGTCCTGCTCAGTATCGATGTAGATGTAGATGTAGATGAAGATTTTCTTGATTTTTCTCTTTTCAACTTCGATTCTTATAAGTCAATTACTATGATTTTCTTCTTCTTCTCATCAATTTTTTTCCATGTCTTCCCCTCACGGATACGCACCACTTCAGTTTTTCAGAGCTTGCCTTTTTGACATTCACCAATTATCGAATTTCATATTTAAACTATGAAATTTGACATGAACTGTCTTTTATTTCTTTCGAGGTTCTTGATGGACCACATCATTATGCCATTGGAGATCATGGCAATTTAATTGTTGCCGTACCGAGAGATTTTCAAAGCAACATTACTGGAAAATATCTACAGTGAGTGGTCTATTTATTTAAATGTATTCATAGTCTAAGATATCATCTTCACAAAAGCAGATTCTTTACCTTTTTCAGTTCTACATTTATGTGATGTGTATGAGACTTGTATTAAGTGGTGTGCATGAATTCTTCCCAATAATCATCCATGATGAAATGGCCCGAGTTTTTGTGTAAAAAGTATAATACCTTTGCAGCAGTATCTTTAGTTATACAAATAGATTTCATTTTCATTTTAATTCCATACCTTTGATTGCCAGGTATTCATTAGACCAAGGTCGTTGCTGGAATACTTTCAAGTTTACCGACGATCCGATGATGATAAGAGGGCTCGTCACTGAACCAAACTCAAAGAAACGCACATTCAGCATTTGGGGAGTTATAGAGGGCGACAAGGAGAAAACATGGCAAGTTGTCACTGTGAACTTTGAAGACATCCTAACTCGAAGATGTTAGTTTACTTACTACTTTTCAATTAAAAACAGCCCCAGTTTTCCTAAATACGTTTTTTTTGTTGCAGGCAGGTTTCTAAAACTAAAAGTTTTTTATGTTGTTTGGTTTTCATGCATGCGGGGCCCCGACCTGTTCAATCCCTTATTGCATGATAAATGATGCAATGATGGATCATCTTAGGTAAAAAACTCCTGATTTTTAATCTGAATTGTTTGCATATGTTTAGCAGGTTTCGTAATGTTCTATCACAAATTTTATTTCTATAAAATGCCTCCTCAGCAAAAATTTGCAATCGCATTTTGTTGGATTATCTAATTGAGCCTGCTGATCACGAATTCGTTATTTGTTTTTTCAATATTTTGCGCAGTTTTTTAGTTACAAGCTCTTGAATTTCGATTATTCAATTACGGAGATAATTCAGTTTGGTAGCACTGTGTATTTCGGATTGTCTCGCCACAAATCGAATTCGAACGACGGCAATTCTCAAGTTGAACACTGCAAATCGTGGTACTCACAGTTTTTTGCACCGATTTTAAGTTTGAGCTTTTCAGACACCTGTTCTGCAGCCCTTAGTTGCTCATCGTTTCTTGAGATCAACTTAAGTATCATTTTCGAGGTGGTATGCTCGAAGGGAGAGCTAGAACTGGAAGCCGTAGCTTTGTGGGCCTACACAGGTGATCAAAATAAAGTCGTGACCCAACATGGACACAGTCAACGGTTCGTTCTCAAGTCAGGCGCACAGACTTTAAATTATGGTATGCATCCAAAACTTTTTCGATCTTAAAAAGCTCCTGTTGTCGATTTAGAGGCAGTTATTACCTCTGGATTAACTTAAAATACATATTTACTATTTCATAAGAAAATCATCATTGATAGCAACGGGTGAATCCTTGCCTACGTGAGTTGATAGTTGAGACTGAGGCGGGCTTGTAAATACATATTCTTGTTTCTTTGCAATAAAGTCTAAACTTTTATCAAAGCGTGACCCCTGCCTCTGGTGCTGTACGGTTTACGAATAAATTTATAGAAAGCAGCACATGACAAGAAGTATTCAATTCAGTCTACCCTTACCTTAAGAGTAAATGGAATGATAGAAAATTCAAAATTAAGATATTTTAAAAAGTAAACAGAGAATATTCTAGTTCACTTAATCATTTGTTTTTTAGGATAAATATTAGTACATTTTGATCGTGAAGTCTAACATAAAGCTTAATTATGCCTGGCAATTCTGCACAAAATCTTCGTACTTTTAATCTGTTGTTTATTTTATGATTTTAGGTGCACATGTAGAAATTACGAGACAATATTCATTGTACTACTATTTTTATGGTGTAATGAAATTCCAGCAGTAATAGCCATAACAGACGAGGAGATAACAACATGAGAAAGAAAGGCACCAAACTGGTTTAACAGATAAAGCAGATACTGGGCAAGCCTTTCATACAATGTGTTTGGAGAGATGGCTTCTACTAGCTTCTTTTTGTCATCATCATCACGACTACCAGGAATCCCACACAATTCTTACTGACTTCTGGCATAATAGATAACTTGTGCAGTAGTATCTAGGGGTCTGGGGTCAAGAGGTGCTTGTAGTTCTACCTTCTTGGACTGTTTGTCCCAACAGAGCTTATTTCAATTTCAGTGCTATTGAAAAGACCTTGTTGTGCAGGTTATTACTTTGTTGAGTTTAAAGATGTGGATTAGTGGGTTAAATTATTTTTCTTAGTTTTATAGGGGCACCCATAAAGTATGCATACCAAATGGAATTTTTGTGCCTATTTTTTACTTTTGCTGATAAGCCGCCAATCCTCATGTGTCCTCCCATATATAAGAACAATTAGGAAAATTAGAAACACGTAAGAAAATATGAAATATCCAAATAGATAATTGTTTAAAACCTACAAATTCAACGGCAAATAGTTCTATTATAACGAAGAAAGCTGCATTAAAGTAGTAGTGACTTTGTTGTACTGATAGTTATTCCAATTTCAGTACAACTCACCATAACTGCCGACGTGGTTAGCTTATAAAGATATAAATAAAGATGTAACTGATGTTCAACAATATAAATAAATGACATGCATCAAAGGGTTTCCAAAGTAAGATTGTTCTTTATGATGATTTGTTATATCTGTATATGAAAGAAAACATGGGCAGAGAATACATATATATATATACATATTTGTCAAATAACAGACTTTATTTCTGGGGTGAGGTTTAACATCATATTAATAAACAATGAAACGTCACATTAGAATAGCCTATATTTAGATATGCTTTATGTAATTGGAATCAGTTGATTGCCATGAATACGACAGAAAGTCGAAACTAGTCGGCAAAATCGCGATATCAAACAAATTGCACAAGATTTATCGATTGAAGAAAGAGTAGAATGTTTACAAAAGAAAGAAGCTTATATCACCATCAAAGATCATAAAGAAAACTTCCCCACCAAGGTATCATGCAGACTTATAAACCCAATCAAATCAGACATTGGCAAAATTAGCAAAACAATATTAGATAAAATTAACAATGAGATCGTCACAGCAAGTAAAGTTCACCAATGGAAAAATACAGACTCAGTTATCCAATGGTTTAACAGTATTGATAATAAAGAAGACGTAAAGTTCATAACCTTTGACATAGAATCATTTTACCCATCAATATCTGCCGAACTATTCAACAAAGCTATAGACTATGTCAAAAACCTAACAGATATTACAAACAAAGAAATTGACATTATATCGCAAGCAAGGAAAACACTACTATTCAACTCAGGAATCACATGGGTAAAGAAGAAAGGCGACGAAGATTTTGATGTACCAATGGGTTGTTTTGACGGAGCAAAAATTTGTGAATTGGTTGGTACATACATCTTAAACAAATTAAATACAGTAATGGGTAATGGAAATGTTGGGCTATACAGAGATGATTGGTTAGGTATTGTAAGGAATTTATCAGGACCAAACATTGACCAGAAAAGAAAGAAAATCATCCAAATATTTGAGGAGTGTGGACTATCTATTACAATTAAGACAAATCTCAAAACAGTAGACTTTTTAGATATACGCCTGGACCTTCAAAACAATACTATTCAACCATATCGAAAACCAAATAACAATCCTGTCTACATCAACAAACAATCTGATCACCCGCCGACAGTATTAAAAGAACTACCTAAAGGCATCAACAAACGGATATCAGAATTATCATCAACCGAAGAAATTTATAGAAGAGAAATGACCGTATATGAAGAAGCTCTTAGAAAAAGTGGATTTAACGACAATTTGAAATACATCCCCAAAGATACCAAGTAAAGGAAAAATGAAGATAAAAAGAAGCACAAACGGAAAATTATTTGGTTTAGTCCGCCCTACTCGAGGAATGTTAAAACCAACGTGGGCAAAATCTTCTTGAAGCTTGTAAAGAAACATTTCGCCGATGATGAAAAACTGGCTAAACTTTTTAAAAAAATTACAATCAAAGTTAGTTACAGCTGTATGAAAAGTATAGGTTCCATGATATCCTCACACAACAAATCTGTTTTAAACCTAAAAAGCAAGGAAGAACATAGATGTAACTGCATAAACAAAGACGACTGCCCATGAGGAAATGAATGTTTAACACCCAATCTCATATATGAAGCAACAGTTAGCAACGATAAAGATGATGAAACGAAACAATATATTGGCCTTACCGAAGGTACATTCAAACTACGATATGCTAACACGAAAACAAGTTTTATCTCATGAACAATAGAACTCCACCTAACTAATTAACCTGTATTAAATAAAATTTCTTTTGTCTAACTTTATCACACCTTTTGTATATTTATACCGCGGTAACAGGAATATTCTTCATTATAGTCTGTCTGATGAGTGCGTAAGCACGAAACTCGGAGTAACAGAGAACATGTCTCATTTCTAGTATATATTCTATTTTATTATATCTATTGCTCTGTGCTTTTGCACATCGAGCACTGTCACGTCAGAATAGACAAAGCAATCCGGAATATATATAAATATATATATATCTAAATTTATGAGCCCTGCCCCCTCTCTATGAAGTTTAGCCCAAACTTTGTTATCACATACCATCCAGCCTTGAATAATTTGGGCAAGGTTGCAGGGAGACTTCATTCTATGCTTACAGTATCAGAAAAGCAAAGGAAGGTGTTTCCTCAGCCACCTTTGATATCATTCAAACGATGTAAGAATCTTAAAGATATACTAGTTAGGGCTAAACTTTATAATGAGGGAGCAGGGGTTTCGCATAACAAGGGTTGTACTCCATGTGGCAAGTCTTGATGTCAAGTGTCTAATGTTATGTGTGACAGTGGTACTTTTACTTCCCATATAACTGATAAGGAATACAAGATAAACTTTCCGTTTAACTGTGATTCGCCTAATGTTGTGTATCTTATGGAATGTAAAGTATGTGGTGTGCAGTATGTGGGTAGCACTTGCACGCCTTTTAGGCTTAGGTTTCATAACTACAAGGCGTGCAATCGCAAGTTTATCGGGGGCTCTTCGGGTGTACCTCAGGCTGATTTTTTCCGGCATTTTGCAGGGAAGGATCATCATGGGTTTCTCGAAGATATTAAAGTTACTATTATAGATAGACTTGATGGGAATGGTAGGATACGTGAAAGTTTCTGGCAGTATAAGTTAGAAACTTTCGCGCCCTGGGGCCTTAATATTAGGTTAGTTGAAACATAGTTTTATTTTTATTTCCAATCTCTTGGATTATTTTCTCCTTTTCACAGCTAATTATTATTTCCACATAATAATATTTTATAGTTTTCATTGTAAGGACAGACAGCATTCACCCTTTCTCGTTATTGTGCATTTCTGCCTACTTCACCTTCACACTTCTCTTTTGTTCTTTTATCTATTGTATTTATTCCACTTTTCTCACCTTCAGCTGGGCCTAGAAAGTTTACTTGTGTCGTATAATTGGCTATTATTGTCCTTGCTTGTAAAATGTGTTCTTTTGTTTTGTATTCCTTATTTTACGCTCCAAATGTAAGTGAAGGTTATTCTGAAGAAGCATATTGCGAAACGTTAATCAAGTTGTTTTTTTACTGATCATCTATATATTAAATACATATATAGAATTTTACCAAAGTCCTGCTATCATTAAACATACCCACAGCTTGCACTGCAATTTAACTTTCCTTGTTTTCCTGGCGGTAATGTGAATGTTTTTTAATTTACATTTGCAAGTACCTATCAAATTCGAAACAGATCCAAAAAGCTAAAGTTATACTCTAACAATTTGCGGTAGTTTATGCCTAGATGTATGAATAGTTGACTTACCTCATACCTGCAATCATATTCAATTGACTATGCCGCAACTGCCAATTCAACAACACAGTCGGCATGCCATGGTTACTTTTATGTATCTTCAAAATGAAAACCAATAGATACGGCATCCTGCAAAAGCACAAGCCTCTAACATTTAAGATAAGACTCAAAGATCCATTCGTATAAAAAGCACCGTTGCAGATGTAGCCTGCAAACACACAGAACGGAAGCAGTCCAATCCAAGCTGGCTGAATCATTTTTAGAAAACGAATGCAAGCAACGAAAGCATGGCAGGCTAGCATTAATACACACGTTTTTCGGAAGCAAAGAACCATCTTGGTTTTCCAACAAATCTCCGTTTCTCCTACACACTTCGTTAGTAGATGTATTAAATTCCCAATTGAATATGTAGACTGCATGTGGCACTTCATCCAAGAAACGATAATATGGTGATAAATTGTTTTTGATAGTTTAAAATAATAATAATTTTTCTTCATTCTGGTATTCAATTTATTCGTTCACTATGTTATCATATTAAATTCCCAGTCAACGAGACCCAGACATTGTGACGTCTATATGTGATCAAAATTTATTCGGTTTTTGTCGTTTTTTTCTGGGAAATTTGCAGTATCAAAATCTTATAACTTTATGACTAATTGAAACTTTGCAAAGAAAATAAATTTTCCATGATTCAGGTAGCAGATACCATCTTTTTGCCAGTAATTTTTTTTTGGCAGGAGAGACCCACCTGATCAGTTGTATTTTTCTTGTCCGTGCAATTAAGGTAACATTGGAGATTATGAATACTGGTCCCCCCACGCTATTGGCAGAAAAGACGGATGCTTCTTGGGAACAAAAGAGGCATATCCAAGGGTAAAGCCAGAGGTTTTGTAAGTAGCTGTTTCATTTCATTTCATTTCATTTCATTTATTTCATTTCATTTCATTGGTTACGTACCTTTCAATTAAATTTTGATTGGTTTTCATGTTATAATGTTATTTGAATACTATTGCTTTATCTAAAAACCGACATCCTGCACCCTGCTAGTAAATCTAACATGACATTTTGATTTATAGCTGCTACAGTGGAGACGATTATAAGCCAAAAATTACGAAAGAACATTGTGTGTGTACTTTACGTGACCTTGAATGGTAAGTCTTTTGCAACTTTGTAAACAACTTTTTCACAATCATTGGACAAACTATTTGTAATTCTGCCGAGCATGACCAACAATTTTCAAGGGCTACGGACATGATGCTTTGTATGTTTCTGGAACAACCAGTCCATCTTCTACCCTTCTTGGTCCCGTTAGAAAGAATGTGAGGAAACAGCCTTCTCGCTCAGCAAATTTACGGAGGTATTTAAGATATGGGTCTCTTGTTAGGTCTGATGATGACAAGGTCATGTTGAATAATTACGGCCCATGTAAAGATGCGCCTTATAGTCCCAGAGGACGAAATCTGTTCAAAAGATGTCCCAGAGTTATCAATTGATCCTGGTGATTCTGAGGAAGATGAGGACATTATAAGTGAATAGTTAATAATGCGTAAACACATTTTTATATTATTTATACTTCGAACTATTAATAAGCCTTCCCCCTCTAATAAGCCTCCTTTCTTTTAAGTCCCCATTGTAGGACTGACAATTATGCTATTTCAAAAGGCTAAAAAAGTAACGGAAGGAATTTGATGGATGTTTAATGGCATAGAAATGCTGTAAAGCAAGGAAAAATGACAAAACTTTTTGATAATGTACACAAGGTACAAATATAAATATTTATATTTATATTTATATAAATAAGCCCCCACGGGACTTCATAGAGCTTTAACGGTATTTTTTTGGAAGTTTAGCTAAGGATCTCTAAACTGCTTTTAAAGTGAGCTAAAACGCCGCATCACGCATCAAAACATGTGAAAGGACCAGTAAATTCCTGTCAGCTTTACCATTGCTCCAAATACAATGTTTTAAAAAGTTGAGCTTTATTCGTGCTTTTTTAGTGATTATGGCTTCATCAAAGATGATGCAGGCAAGTGCTTTAGAGATGGTTCTGTGAAGCTCGAAATTTGTAGAACTGGAAGTGAACAGAAAGTTGAGGAGGGCAAAGGGTAAGATGCTCTTTATATTTCTCAACATGCAATCAAAACAAGCCAATTTTCCAATAACGAATCATTTTTCATTACTGTATTTAACAGTGAACTTTTCGCAATTCAGCACAAGATAGTTGATATTGTGAAGAGAAGAACGCATGAGTCTTAGAGACTCGACAGTCTCTTTAAGCAATATCACCAAGAACCGTACCGCAAAGCAGTGCTGAGGTTTTGGCGGACTGTATGCCATCCTACAGACACCACTGACACCTCAAATTGTCGGCTGTAGACCGGTTCATATTCGCCCCATATCAGGGCTCATCAGTACAGCTAGACTGAATGAGGACCTAACGGCGACCTAGGGCCAGTAATTGGGCTGTCAGTGGGAGGTAGAAAAGTGTAAAAAGAAGTACGCATGAGTTTTAGAGACTCGACGTTTTAGAGAGTCTCTTTAAGCAATATCACCAAGAACCGCACCGCAAAGCAACGGCTTCTTGTCTTGATTCTTGTTTCTATTACTTGGTTGAGCTTTTGTCAGTCTCATCAAAATTAGGCAAAAGCATATCTTCTGAACAAAGGCATTGAATGGCGGTTCTTTCGCATAGGCAGCCATTGGCAGGTTTCAAGAGTAATCTTTCTCGAAACGCTTCCTCGTCCTTCTTTGGGCAATTCCCTTCAGATTATGCAGCAACCATTAATGCAAAACCCTTTTTTCTTGTAAATTAATTTAGACACACACCTTTACTTTCTGTTTCTTTGGAATTCAGAGTCTTCAAATTTGCACTACCTTGTTGAGCTTGATAAATTGGTCCTTGGGACCGAAAGTAAGAGAACCAAGCAAGAGACAATTTTTCCTCTACACCTGTAAGAATCATTTGACAGTATTACAGAGACGTGAGACACGAGCGTAAGCATTTTTTGCATTTCGAATAACACCAAGGGCGGACTGGCTATTTTTTTTGGCCCGGGCAAATTTTGATCAAACCGGCCCACAAAAATAGCAAATAAAAAACTCCTCGGAAAATGCAAGTAAATGTTAGTCTATAGAGAAAATAAGTTTTTAAATTCAGTAATTTTGTGCATGGATGAATGCTGGTTAACAGAACATGTTAAATAAGTCATTTTCTGACTAAATAGTAAATAAACAAAAATTTTAACTCATTGGTTTGACTTTCTTTCTAAATACAGTAACTTATATGTTGATAATGTGATCGTTCTAGATGTCATCTAACAGGTGTTTTTCTAAGAACGTTAACATGAAGGACTCCAGGTTTGGCTGCGAAAAATTACCACGTAATCTGTTCTTTATATATTTAAAGTGGAAAGCTTCTATCACACTCAACTTGTGACAAATAATTTTCTAATCCTTTGGAAAACCACAATGATTTTCAGCAGCCCAAAAATATCGATTTGTCAATTTCTGGCCCCAAAAAGAAAACATGGGCACCCCTGTTGAAATTTTATCGTGTAGCACCATTATCGTGTAGTACCTGTTGGGCGGGGGGCCATTTGACTAATGATAGTATATGCCTAATAAATTTACCATAACTTGTATGAGTTTATTGAAAGGAGCAAGAGCAAGACCCTGCTGTTTTTTGTGACGTTTGTGGCTTTTGCTTGATAAAAAAAGCTTTGTATCGTAGCTGAATCCTTTTTTAAGTCTCACAGCTTTTCCTCACAAAATTTATGTGCACCACCTTTGGTTAAAGTCTCCTTGCTCTTTCCTTGTTCTACGTATGTCCTCTTCATTACTTCACATCACAGAGCAAATCGCTCAGTGAACTCAAAATTTTGGACTTTTAAATTTATTACATTTAGCAATAGCTTGTGCTTAGGGAAAAACATGACCAGCTTCAAGCAAAAGCTAAGTAAAAAGACATCGGGGCAAAACGACTGGACATTTTCACTGAACATGGACTGGACAAATGTCCAGCGTAAATGTTGCGTCGTTTTGCCACCTTGTCCAGTCTTGTTAAGCGATGTTGAATGTTGTTCAGTCGATTTTGAAGGCAGCCAAAAATGTTCAGTGGACAGGATTAAATTTCTTTTGCTCACTGATGTTGTACAGAAATTGTTCAGTCGTTTTGCCACTCATTGTCCAGTTCGCGCACGCGCAATCGATTAATGGTTTAGATTCGGCGTCAATTTATTTCCCATATTCAAATCTTCAACAAACTTTTCTAGTCAACACCGCGAACGAAATGGAAACAACGTGAAAATTCAATTCGACCAATAGCAGAAAAAGGCATTTAATTAGTATCGATGAATCTTTTGATCAGATTAGCTTTAGTTGCGATAAGGAAAGCGATGTCAGAGAGCACGAGGACGGTGATTTTGATGAACCTAGCAGTCCTAGCCACTTTTCATTAATACACTCTAATTCATACGATAACACGGTTAGGGCCATGAAAAGTGTATTTTCAAAGGTAAAGAGATGCCCTGATGCCAGTTTTCCCACCCGCATTCTTCAACAGGGAAAAAGTTCACTGGACAATGTTCAGTCGTTTTGCCACCACCAATATTTTCTTGATGTCCATACTCTGAACAAGTGAGCAATGTCCAGCGTGTGTGACCAGTGCAAATGTCCAGTCGTTTTGCCGGGGCTTTATGTATCGCATTGAAACAGGGATGTTACAGTATAATATGTCGCCAAAAAGGAAATGTGTATATTCATTCTTTCCCACAAACTCTCTGAAAATTCAAGGCAAACAGATTAACGCGAGGGTATACTTTTTGCCTCGCATTCACTTTTTAAGCTAATTTTTTTTGCCCTTTTATCAACCGGCCCTTAAACCGACCGGCCCTTTGGGCGATCGCCCGAATAGCCCGACCAGCCAGTCCGCCCCTGAATGACACTATCAAAACTGGATTTACTGCTATTGTGAGCTTCGACAGTTTTCCGATGCTTCGAATTAAATCTATTGTGGCATTTGCTCGTGTTTTTTTCTGGTTCTTCTGGGCTCAATATTTGTTTTCTTGTAATTTTTCTCCCTAAGCAGATCATTTTCTCTTTAATCACAATAGCCTGCGCGCAGTCTCGACTGATTTTCATAGAGATGAATTTCATTTAATTGAAAATTTAGGGTTTTCGTGATTCAGTCATTTTCAAGGACGACTTCTGAGGGATGAAGTACTTTTGCAAGTTCTAATTGTTTGCAACGATTTCCAAAAGATTAAAGATAGCATTGAGGACTGCTAGCCTGCTTTAGTTTCCCGTTCCCATACAAGGGGCTCACTCACAATTCGTATGTGCGAAAAAGTTTGTAAATTATTGTTAAAATTATCGGGCCACAGGTTCAAGCTCAAAGATATCAGCAATGGATTCTAGTTCTCTGTTGTAACAGATAAAAAAGTTAAAAAGTCTGTCCAACTTGTTCCAACTTTGATAATTGGTCGTGTTAAACTAAGAGATGATTCTCACATTTATTTGTTTTTTATTTGTCATGGTCTGATTTCTGGATCATGGTGAATTGGAATTTCCTTCCGAACTTTTGAAGTTGTTTGCTTTCATAACAAAAACCAAATAACCTCAAAAATCAATAGAAAACCAAATCACCTAACCTCAAATGGTGCAGAACAGGGAACTCCACTATAGAGGTTCTTTGCCCCACCAACCATTTCTACCACGAGCATCAACCGTGCAGTTAGCTTGTTCCACGATGACAAAGTTACAATTGGGAGATTGAATCGGATAAATGTTAACTCTCCGAAAAGTTCTCTCCCTTGCTGACGGATATTGTCGGCTGAGGTTTTCCCTAAAAAATTCATCCAATTTTTTCATTCTGTCTAGACCTTCTTCTCTGTTCTAGCCTCTTTTATGCACAAAAGTTTGTTCAAAATCTTCTCGTAACAATGGATAATTCTTTTCTAATTCTACTGCACTCCAAATCCTAAAGTTCTGAAACGTATTTGGCATTTTTAACCATGAATTAAAAGTTTTTTTCAATTTAATCATTTGAACGTAAAATTAACTTATAATTACTTCTGATTCGACAGCCAAAAAGTAAATAACAGTATTCAATTGGCTTTGCAGCTATCTTCATGCCAGCCTTAAATAAGTTATTAATTTTTATTTATTGCTTAATAAACTTTTTAGGTATCGGAGAATACCTGGAGATCGATGCAAGGGTGGAAAAGATGCCCTGGTTCAGAAAATGATTAATTACATAGATACGAGAGTTCCGTGTAAATCAGAGGAATTGGAATCTTACGGGTTGTCTCATCAAGTTGAAGCAAAACGTTCCCGAAAGGTTTTCCAACTAACTTTTTTCTTAATTGCTATAGGAGTTTATTGCTTTAATTGTTTTAATTGCTTAATTGCTATCGAAAATTTGTTTTGGTTCATACACATTTTCGTATTTTCGTATTTCTGTAGCAAATGAATTATTTTTTCCAGGGTGCAAATAGCAAGGGTTTTCTTGTGTTTGGAATTATTCTCATCATATTGGTGTTAGTTGGTGCTGTCATCTTAATTGCCCGGAAGTTCATAAGCTCTCAAAACAGGTTATTTGCCTTTTTATATCCATGATTGTAAGCTTTTTGCGTTTCATTATGCTTCTTGCGTGACCAGTTTGTTCGTTTCTGGTTTACAATTCCGACTCTTAAAAGCTCTTCCCTTAATAAGTTTCTGCGTTGCTGCAGGCATCATGGAATTTTAATTTCATTTCAATGAAAATTCACTTCATGTTCACAATGTTGTTGCAACTAAACAGGACGAAAATGGCAAATAGGATTACCCTTTCGTTGGTTGCTACTGTTATTGTTAAGCAAGTGCACTACATTTTCCTTTTGATAACGAATGAGCGACATGCACAGTGCACAATGGCATTTAATACTTTAATTGTTTTCTTTGGTTAGTTCACTAGAGTGATTTGAGTCGATCTTTGTTACTTCTACTTAAGCACATTGTTAGAAGTTATTGTCCTTTTTTGGTAGTTTTGCATCTTTTCGCTACTCGCAACTCTCCAGCAATGAGTCAGATGAGCTAATTGAGGAAGTGAATGGCTACGACCCCAGGCCAAGGGGGGTTAGGCCATACCAAGATGAATCGGACTTCGAGTCTGTAAGTAGCTACCTTTGACTTTCAAATTTAATGAAGCATTCAGTCAAAACATCAACTAATTGCTTGCGAATATCAATATAAACTCCTTGGATATATTCAAGCAGCGTCACTGATTGTATCGACTGCACTTGGAAAAGCTGCACATGAATTGTTGATGTATGAGATTATATCAAATTAATCTCAGATCACTATACTAATCTTAGATAAGAAAGAACTTTATAAATTATATACTGCAGTCTGAATTTTAGATCGCTTTCATCCTGATTTATCTTTTTTTACTTAATCTTGTTGAAAATATTATCTTATCTAACGTTTCTGAAACTGAACCGCATTTTCTGAAATTTATGTTTTCAGGATGCAGAAATGCTCAAATTGTGACCAGAATCTATTGGCGTGTTTTTCTGGAAATGAAAGTGATTTGACAGTTGCTCTGGTGCTTCTATTGTAGGTCTGATGCAGCTATATAAATACCTCTAAACCTTGATGGAATTGTTTTCCTGTGTTAAGCTTATTGAATAGCTTTCATCTATTATTAACCACTAAATCCCTGCATGATGACGTTGGTCATGCGTCTGTCATCGTCTAATAAAGCCCCCCCTATTGGTGAATTCTGTTAACTTTTTTAAATCCCTTTACTTATTTAGAGGTCAGAAAAGAACCATCGTGATATTTGTCAATAAGTAAGTGATGCGAGACTCTTGGCTATTGGTTAAGCTAAAGAGCTAAAGTTGCTTTCTTCGAGGAAATAAGCGTAAACGAAAATTAGTGCCAATTTGAGAACTCTGTGTTTGTTTTATAACTCCTTGATTTTAGCTTATGTTTTTCGCTAGGTGCTTTATCACAAGTTTCTTGTGATAATTTTCTTTACAAGGATATGTTAGAACAGGAATATTCAAAAGCATACATGTCACAGATAAAATAAAAGGTACCCATTAATGTATAGGTTAGTTTGTTTTGTGTTGCAAAATGATTTCACACTGTTATTAAATCAGTTCTACAAACGTAGACAATGTATTGCTGAATTCGCATTAACTTCATTTGAATTGGATTAAATTGATACTTGTATGACTTTTTTGCATGCTTGTATGACACGTAAATTTCATTTGCATTCTAATATTTTGGTTTTATTTTCCAAAAATAACGTAGGTCATTATATTTTAACTCAGTGTTAACGTTGCTGTTCGCAGGGCATTTCATTAAAGGGGGAAAATGGTCTTTTTTATCCCTTTTTATAATCAAGTACAATTTTACAGGCCCTCAGTACCTTCACTACATACAAAAATGCATTATAACAGAACTTAAATTATTCCCGGTCGAGATTAAACCTGTCCCATGGCCAGTTGAATAAAAAAGAACAATCATAATGGGAGCAATTGTGTTTTTAAAGCTGAAATGTAAGCTGTTATATGACGCTGAATCATGTATACATAATGGTGGCCGAATATATCTATATTACCGGGAACTCTCTTTTCATTCGATTAAACTCGGGTATTGTTCTGTTGATATTGTTTTGTGAGCCTTTGTCAACATATAATGTTGAAATGTCATATGACGACGGTCTTGGAACGTAATACCCCTTAGTTACCTTATATATATATATCTAGAATAGAAAGGCCTAGCAGAGTTTACGATGTTTTTCTGTTGAACCGTAGAAAGAAGTATTTATTTTCACTGTATACGACTTTTACTTATGCAGCTTGCAAGCAAAAATATTTCCCTCTATTTGTATATTCAGAGATGAGTTAATCTGCAATCTTTTAAACAGGAATTATTGGTAATGAGCATTATTTTACGAAATATTTGTCTTTTTGCATTAGCAACTTTTGTGCATATTGCAAAAATGCAATTTTGTTGATTGATTTTTAATAAATTGAATCATTACAAATACCATACAAATACCATAATGGTTTTGAAGGTTGGCAAAATGATAAAGATTGCCCTCTAGCTGCAAACAACGGCCAGCATTTGGACAAATGATAGCATGTGATAGTGTGAACTGCAGTGGTGAATGGTTCCATTATCCCTGTGTGCAAATTACAAGAGCTCCAAAAGGTTCCTGGTTCTGTAGGCAATGTCACAGGGAAAACGACAACAATACTGCAACTGTTAGAGGCTCTTTCTAAATTTTTCCTCTGGTGAATTAAGGGATTTTTAAAATGGCTCCCTTTTCATTCAATTCTTCCTCAATAAGAAAACCTCTGTCTGCCAAGATACAGTCACCAACATTTACCTTATTTAGAAACCCAGAATCAGCTGCTATTTTCTTGTCTGATACTCGACCACCCCACCCTTCTGATAGAAACATCACAGCACCTGCTTGACTTATTCCGATAAGGTATTTGGAAGTGTTATTGTGCTTGTAGTTAGACCAGGTTCGTGCACGAGCAGTCAGATTGGAATGACGTTCTATAAAAATTTCGCTACAATCAATTATACAAACACGGTCTCTGAACTTCTTTTTGAATGACTTTGGCAGATTTTGGCGTATTGTTTATCTGTCTGGCCAGATAATCAGATTCTTCATGTGTTTTGCTAATGCTGGTAACCATGCTCTAAATATTTTTGATACTGTAGAATCAGGTACTTGAAACCTAAATGCTAGATCTTTGTTTAAAAGGCCAAGTCGCAGTTTCATAAATACCATTAGAACATGGTCATTAACAGACATACTAGAATGATAAGATCTAGCTTTGTCTTTCACAAGTGAGCTTACCCACAAGAAAGTATCTCTTGATGGTAAACCTGTAAAAAATTTCACTAAGTTATCATCAGAGCTGATTTTATTGAATCCAAAGTTTTGAGCTTTTTATTGAATCCAAAGGTTGAAGGGCTTTAAATTTCTGACTGACAAAGGTCAATCCTAATTTTGTAATTTTGAAATTTTCACGACCACGTTTTTTAGATAAGCTTAGAATACATTTCAGAATATTTCTTGCAGGCATTTTCTTGTAATCGTTTAGAACATTTTGTTATTTTTAAGGCATGCTCTTATTACATTTGATTAATTCCAGTCTTAAAATTGAATTAATCACTGTATGAGGCTCCATAGGCCCAGTGGCGCAGAGAGGGGGGCAGGGGGGGGCAGTTTGCCCCAGGGCCTCGGCCTGAAAGGGGCCCCAAAATTATTCTGAAAATTTTTTTAAAGTGTCTTTTTTTGAGAAACTGAAAATGCATTCAAAGATATATTTGTTAATGTCGAAAATGATGGCAGTAATTTCATTGGGTCCGTACACTGAGTCTTGTTTGAATTTAAAGCCTATCAGCTTTATTTATTAAGTCTGGGGCCCCGAAAAAAGTTGAATAAACCTTAGATCACATATTTTACGGATCTCTTTTTTAAGCTGAGTTTCCCTGAGTTTCGCAAAATCGTACTTATTGGGGGAAGGGAGCCCTGATAAAAAATTAGGTAACCCATATAATCTTGTTTTAATCTATGGCCCGTTCAAGTGAGTTATGTTTGCATTTAGACTCGTTGCATGAAGCTATATTATACTTTTGTGGCCCCTTTCAGCAAACTAGCATTAATAAAGAACCGCTTACGTTCAACAATGACTCAAGACCGACTATCAAGCCTCATGACTCTTTCGATCGAGCACGAACTAGCAAGACAAATTGATTACGACAATATCATTGATCAGTTTGCAACTGAAAAGCAAGAAAAATTAACTTTTGAAAGACGAAAGAACTGAAAAGCGTAGTTCCATGGGATTTTTTAAATAAAAGTGCGTAGAATAAAAGTTTCCTTTCATTTTAAATTTTAATATTGCGTGGCTCACCAGAAAAAAACAGTCAGAATTGAAGGAACACATTTTGAAGTCCTCTTTAATCAGCTAAATGGGTGTGGTCAAAGAGCGTATTTAAATCGCTTACCTTTAGAATTAATGCTTTTTATTACATTTTTGATATTTTAACCATATTCTATAACGTGCGCAAACGTTTGGAAATAATGGGCGTTTCCCATTTCAAAAAGGGCGTGGTCTCGAGAAAAATTTTGTATCCGACTCTAGGGCCCCAGCCAGGACTTTGCCCCAGGGCTAGGCGGCCCTGCATAGGCCACGGCGTATACCTTGGAAATTAAGCAACTAAAGGATTTGTCGGATTATTCTTTTCTTTGTACTTTCTCCTTTACTCGTTTTATTTGCTAAAAAGAGAGGGCTGAAGCCCCCAGCTCTCCACCTGGTGCCGCCTATGTTACATCGGTCGATCTCAAACGGAGAAAGTTCTTGACAAGTCATGGGAAATGTACTGTGCTTCTTTAAGCACTACTTTTAAATATTATTTAAAAAATTCTATTTCGTATCCCGTTTTTAGAAGCAATTTGATGGAATGATTATCACACTATCCCCATTACGACGAATGTAGTTGAAAATACTTGCATTTTCATAAAAAAATTTTTATGCCTTTCTTATGTTTCTCTTTGAGCTACAGTTCACAAGGTCATTTGAGTCAAAACTTCAAACTTTACAAATGATTCAAATTTTTTTCCGATGTACCTAGCTTTCTACCAACAGCTTTAAATTTTCCGACTGTCCTCAAATTTTCCGACTGGTTGAAAGATTGGAGGGGTGTCACACCTCCCACAACCCCACCCCAGTACTTACGTGCTTGGGCACCCAATCAACATCATCAGGATCTTCAGACTTGTTACCTTTTAGAAATTTGAATGCTTATTTGTTGGTTTATTTTAGGAAAAGCTGAACAATTCATTAAATCTTAAAATAATTTTTCAAATGTTATGAACAAAGTAACACTGAAATATGAGCTAAGCATCATTATTCTACAGTGGAATTCATAGGACTGCCTTGAATTGAAATTAATTTTCTGACAACCTGGACCCGATACAATGAGAAAATTCTTGTACATAAATGATTAAACTGAAAAAATCAACTGCCCACTTGACAACAATGACAGATCATAACCTAAAATCCGTCACAGAATGTAAAAAGTTGCTTTGTATATTCCGATCAGGAAGAAGCATTCAAAGCATTCCTGAAATTAAAATGTTCAGAGCAGACTTTTTGTTTTGAAATTTGCTCTTCCGTCCACGTTTTCCAATCCTCTCTATTTAAGGCACGAACCCACTCCTTGCGACCATAGGCATAAATTCAGGGGTAGGGCTCTGGGGCTTAAGCCCCCCCTGACGAAATTTTTAGATTAGTTTGTTATATTATTGTTTTCACGCATAAGATTTTTTGCATTAGTTAATTGTGTTTACAGCAAAATAAGGTATGAAATTATTGTGCATAGCATAGGGGAAAAATGCATGACGCTGGTCATGGCGGCACGGGATCGCGGGCGCAAATACTCCACATGGCTTCAACATATGCAGTAAAAACTTCAAAGTCAAAGTATAAAAGATAATTGTTTTCGGAAATCTACTAGACATACTACTGGATGAAACTTATAAAACAGAAATGCTTAATCAAGGTATATCAAGAAAGAACTTTTAATCATTATTTCAAAACAACAAACAAAATTGCAGGTAAATGTCGAAATATCTACATTTATATAAAATCACAATATTTAGATGAAACATTGTCACGAGAAAAAGGGTTACCTACAGAAAAATGTAGATTTTGCTACAAAACGAAACTATTGCCAAAGTAATTGCCAAACAAAAAGGTTTTTGCTGGTTCTTATCATTTGTTGTGAATGTATTGCCTTTTCATGGAAAATGGAAGAAACTGGCCGCTACTTTTGATTATTATGAATGTGACTTCGTGGTCGATAAGGAATATGAAAAGGCTAAGTTGTCGCGAGAAAAAGGGTTACCTACAGAAAAATCTAGATTTTGCTACAAAACGAAACTATTGCCAAAGTAATTGCCAAGCATCGAGGTTTTCGCTAGTTATTATCATTTCTTTTGATTGCTTTGCCTTTTCATGGAAAAATGAGGGAAGTTGCCATTACTTTTGGTCATATATGTGACTTCGTGATCGAGAAGGAATATGAAAGAGTTTAATTGCCGCGAGAAAAAGGGTAACCTACCGAAAAATATAGATCTTGCTACAAAACGAAACTATTGCCAAAGTAATTGTCAAGCATCAAGGTTTTCCCTGGTTACTATCATTTCTTTTGATTGTATTGCCTTTTCATGTAAAAAGGAGGAAAGTTGCCATTAATTTTAAACATGACCGATCACGAAGTCACATTTATGACCAAAAGTAATGGCAACTTCCCTCATTTTTCCATGAAAAGGCAAAGTAATCAAAAGAAATGATAATAACTAGCGAAAACCTCGATGCTTGGCAATTACTTTGGCAATAGTTTCGTTTTGTAGCAAAATCTAGATTTTTCTGTAGGTAACCCTTTTTCTCGCGACAACTTAGCCTTTTCATATTCCTTATCGACCACAAAGTCACATTCATAATAATCAAAAGTAGCGGCCAGTTTCTTCCATTTTCCATGAAAAGGCAATACATTCACAACAAATGATAAGAACCAGCAAAAACCTTGTTGTTTGGCAATTACTTTGGCAATAGTTTCGTTTTGTAGCAAAATCTAGATTTTTCTGTAGGTAACCCTTTTTCTCGCGACAACTTAGCCTTTTCATATTCCTTATCGACCACAAAGTCACATTCATAATAATCAAAAGTAGCGGCCAGTTTCTTCCATTTTCCATGAAAAGGCAATACATTCACAACAAATGATAAGAACCAGCAAAAACCTTGTTGTTTGGCAATTACTTTGGCAATAGTTTCGTTTTGTAGCAAAATCTACATTTTTCTGTAGGTAACCCTTTTTCTCGCGACAATTCAACTCTTTCATATTCCTTATCAACCACGAAGTCACATTCATAATAATCAAAAGTAGCGGCCAGTTTCTTCCATTTTCCATGAAAAGGCAATACATTCACAACAAATGATAATAACCAGCAAAAACCTTGTTGTTTGGCAATTACTTTGGCAATAGTTTCGTTTTGTAGCAAAATCTAGATTTTTCTGTAGGTAACCCTTTTTCTCGCGACAATTCAACTCTTTCATATTCCTTATCGACCACGAAGTCACATTCATAATAATCAAAAGTAGCGGCCAGTTTCTTCCATTTTCCATGAAAAGGCAATACATTCACAACAAATGATAAGAACCAGCAAAAACCTTGTTGTTTGGCAATTACTTTGGCAATAGTTTCGTTTTGTAGCAAAATCTAGATTTTTCTGTAGGCTACACTATCTCTCGCGACAATTCAGCCTTTTCATATTCCTTATCGACCACGAAGTCACATTCATAATAATCAAAAGTAGCGGTCAGTTTCTTCCATTTTACATGAAAAGGCAATACATTCACAACAAATGGTAATAACCAGCAAAAACCTTGATGCTTGGCAATTACTTTGTCAATAGTTCGTTTTGTAGCAAAATCTAGATTTTTCTGTAGGTAACCCTTTTTCTCGCGACAATTCAGCCTTTTCATATTCCTTATCGACCACGAAGTCACATTCATAATAATCAAAAGTAGCGGCCAGTTTCTTCCATTTTCCATGAAAAGGCAATACATTCACAACAAATGATAAGAACCAGCAAAAACCTTGTTGTTTGGCAATTACTTTGGCAATAGTTTCGTTTTGTAGCAAAATCTAGATTTTTCTGTAGGTAACCCTTTTTCTCGCGACAATTCAACTCTTTCATATTCCTTATCGACCACGAAGTCACATTCATAATAATCAAAAGTAGCGGCCAGTTTCTTCCATTTTCCATGAAAAGGCAATACATTCAC